AATAAAATAAAGAAAATGAATATCACAACGATAACCGTGATAGCAGTGAAATCGGTGAAAATGGTGATCACGATTTTTCTAGTGATCATTGGTGACGCTAGTTGGCGCAGTCATTTAGTTGCGCAAACGGATTATCACTAACACCGGTCTAAGACGGTCTTACCAGGACCGATCCATCCCTAGTCCCGAGGAAGAATATATTGGTCGTTCTCTTGTTGGATTGCGGCCAATCAATTCTTTTGATTCCTGTTGCGAGCTGTAATTGATGCACCAAACACAACGTTGATAATCTTTTCCTGACTTGACTTCCAGGAGACATTGATTATTCTTTGTTGCCTCCAATGATTGAGTTCCATTATTTTTATCCATTGAGCAATTTGATTGAGATGCCGAAAAAGAAACTTTACTTGACTCAGATAAGTGAATTTTATTGTTCCTTTCTACTTGAGACATTTCTTTAGGAGGAAATAGTTTTTCTTTTTCTTATTGATATTTTTTTTCGTGTAAAGGTAACAGAGAGCAACCCATGGGGAGGTTATGTTATGGTGATTTTTGCTCCATTCTCTTTCATAATTATTGGTTCTGGACAATTGGTACGGTTGATAATTCGTTTGTTTCTCCTAATGTGCATTAAAGGGCAAACATCAACATCATACCATGCATGAATAAAACCAAACATTGAGACATACCTGTATGGCAGAAGATATCACTTGTAAGCTTTCTTTCCCTTGTAGCTCGTCTTCCCATGAAATCCCAGATCTAGGTGAATAATACTTAAAAGAACAAACCGTCATAGTGAATAACGCTTTTACTTTCAATAATCTTGATTCTAAGGAAGTAATGGACGCTAAACAAGGCAGGTAATTTTAGCTATTTGTTATGTAAAAAAGAAAAAGAAAATTTCTTCTGATACTTGATTGAATAAAATTTTTTATTTAGGTATCAATATTAACCTTGGTAATGCACCGCAATATTTATGTTTGCAAGAAAAAAAATGTTTGCCCTGAAAAAAATTTTACTTATATCAAAAAATCCAATAGCCAATAAAAATCATTTGAAGATCAAATCAAATAAACGGATCAACAGATTAAAAAATTGTTCCTTAAGAATATGGCAGCTCGCAATTAAATCAGGTTCAGATATTTAACTCGATATTAACGGGCATTCATCCAACTTTTAAAATATAACTAAAAGAAACTAAAGAAAAGGATGCGATTCTTGGAATAATCGTTGAGCAACTCTCCAATTCTGTAAAATAGAAGTATAAGAAATAGATCAATATTAACCTTGGTAAAGCATTGTGAAAATTTATGTTGTCCGCATGAAAAAATGTTCGTTTGCAAGCTCTGAAGCTGCTTTCCTGAAAAAATTTAACTTTATTTACACACATATTATACCGTTTTTATTATGGTTTGTCATGTCAAATCAATAACTAATAAGTAAAGTAAGTTTATTATTTGACGCGTAATGAGTTAATTGAATCGAATATTTTAGAACAAATTTATTCTAGACCTACACACTTTGTTATACATGGGTATATATTTATCCTGATCTAGGGCATAGGCTATTAAACTGACTGTAGGGTACTCAATTCTGATGGATTACTTTTTGATGCACTCAAAATTAGACAATCATGGATACTAATATAAGGTATAGCCTAATTACATTGTTAGGATGACCATAAAATAATATTAATTCACATATTGCAAGAATTAAACAAACTCTTCTTTCACTCTACTAGTTTAATGCTTCATATTTATTTATATTTATATTTATTATTACAAATGAAAATTCAATCACTTATTTTATAGGATTGTTTTTATTTTATTAAAAATATAATTAATCTTTGTTTAAAAGCAAATTAATTAAAGATATTAGAAAATAAATTGGTTTAAAATAACATTTTTTTTTTTACTAATAAATTTGCTTGATCAATTCTTAAATGTATAATATTTTTTATTAAAAAAATTTCAATATTTACAAATTTAAACATATTATATTAAAGATTCTAAAAATACTTTTATATTTTTAATTAAAAAATCAATAAATATTATTAAAATCTTTTACAATTTATTACTTATTATTTTTTTAAAATTTTTAATGTTATAAATATTTAATATATTTATCATAGTATAAAAAACAGCTGCTAAAATTTTCTTATTTAGTATTCTGTTATATCATTAAATTTAATGATAGCATTTATTTTATATTTTTTAGAATAATATAATCTATAAAGTTCCAGCTAAATGATCATTAAAACACTTGTTAGGTATATACTTTTTTAGTTATGATCTACTAAAAAACTTTGCTTTTAAATTCTTAATTCTAGATTATAAATTTAGAATTAAGAATAATGAATCTAAATTCTAAATCTAAGATAGAGTATTTCACTCATCTTCTCTCCTAATTAATTAATTGTCTATTTATTTATTTTTTTTTATTTATTTATTTTATTTATTTTTATTTATTATAATTTGGTTTTTTTTTGAAAATAAAAAATTGTTAAATGCTTATTATATAATAATATATATAAAAAATAAACAACTAAACAAAAGTAAAATAAGTTAATAAAAAAAATCTCATTATTATTCAAAATAAATAAATAAAATATTTATTTAATTTAAATTAAATAAACAGATTGTATTGTAAAAATTAATTCTATAATAAATAATATTATATTTTAAATGCAAGATGATTTAAATAATAAGAATCAAAAAGAAAAAATAAGGGTTAGATAAATTAAAAATATATATGATAAAATTTCTGAAAACTTTAAGGATAGCACTTAAAAAATCTATTGATAATAAAGATCTTAGCTTTTATAATACTATTAATCTAATGGATTATTAATAATAACTTACTTAACAAATAAATAAATTTAGTTTTATAATAATATTGATAATATAAACAATATTGAGAAAAA